GTTCTGATTCAGTCTCACCTTCACTCCACAGCATTCAGCCTATTTTTGTGCCACGATTTGGTTTTTTTTTTGTCTTGGATCCATGAATGTTCCATTACCCTGATGAAATATACAAAGTATATACAATTAAACAATTGTCTTCTATTATACGATATCGTTTTAATGAACGATTAGCAATACTCACGATACCGAACTTCTAGAAAATGTCGAATGTTCCAAACATAGCAGTTATTGAAATATTCGGATATGAAGCCGTACCGATGCTGAGCACAATTCGTAAACAGTCAAAAGATCTGATAGTGAATCTCGACGAGTCATATTTCGATGAACGTATGAAACAAATGCTTATCATAGCAAATAGTTTCTACAATTTCGATTCCGATACAGCAGTGACAATAACTTGGAAAAATCATCCGTGAGTAAAAAATTCTTGAAATTTTACGTGGATGAACGATACTTTATGTGAAATGGGGCAAATCTGATTAATGCATTGGCAAATGGCAAATAAAATGGCAAATCTGATTAACAAATCTGATTGATCGACAATTTTTATCATCGTCGCATCTGATCCGTTCTTCTCAGGCTCGCAGACCTTATGCCGAAGCAATCGCGCATTGAATGTATGCCGCAAACTCAACCGCTACCCGACATGACAAGTTGTGAGGCGAAGAACTGTATATTCGACAGAGATGCAGGGGTAATTTTCATAATTGGCTTCATCATAATCCATTCTTCTAATCGTTTTTGCTTCTCATAGACTGTCGTCTATCATTAAGAGAACTGAATCAATTTTCTGAAAAGAGCAAATGTGAAAGGTTCAAAATGCAAGCATCTTCGCACTGGTTCGTATGCTTTACAGGAAGGTATTCCGACATGTTACTATCCACGTATCAGTGGATATAAAATAAAGCAAAAAGATCACAGTGCAATGATTCTCGAAAAATATGGAACGATCGAAACACCGTATGGCAAGAGTCTCAAAGAAATCTCATTCTCAACTTCCTACCTGAAAGAGTCAACTTTAAATGTTCGAATTGGTGCACCAGGAAGGTAACCATTACAAAAAAAGCGACCTAATGGTTCAAAATTATAATGAACCGCTTATCAATAATAAATAATTAAGTGGTAATGTAGAGATAAAATTCTTGAAGATCAGAGATTCCATTGAGTTCCATTTCACCCATAATCCCGTTTTCGAAGCAGCTGTGGTTACTGCATCTTGAGATAAGGTGATAAATTCCAGATTCGAGCCTCCGCTACATTTCCCGAAAGAGTCGTTCTTCACAAACGAAACGTTCACCGTGAAGACCTCGAATGAAACTGGCATCTTTTCATTCAAAGTGATAAGAGTCTCAAACAATAGAACCATTTGGGATACTTCAATTGGTATGAGTTTCATTTCATTTTTTGGATGACTCTTTGATAGAATGAATGTATTTGCCACAGAAAAAAATTAGAGAAATATTTGTGCAAGCATATAGGATTCCGTCAATTCATCTGTTGGCGTTCAAAATCTGTACCCTTCATAAATTTTAAGGATTTCAGTAGGAATATATTTCACTCTACGCAACTGATTCAGACTGTTGTTTGTGTTTCGATGCTTATTAGTTAACATTCTCGAAAGGTGTATGTTTTCAACCAGTTTTTATTTAACCTAAATGTGTCCTCCAAGAATAATCATCGTGTGCATCTCACTTGAAATACATCAAAATATAACCTCAGAACATTATGATAAGAATTGCAAATTATGCTGGCTTAATCGTTCTGCAGGCGGCATGATGTTCGCCGATCAATTCATACAAATCGGTGCATTCATTGGCTCGTCACAAATCTACGGTATAGGAGAGAATCAACAATGGAGATTGAGGGTTCGAAGATACTTGAATGAATATTTCGATTTCTATTCCGTTTCATACTTCACATAATCTCAGCAGCAAGTTTCCTTTGACGTGTTGAATAGAGTGTCTTTTCAGCATAACATCATGCAATATACGACATGGCCAATGATGGCACGAGACCAACCGCCTGATTCTGAGCGGTCCAGAAGCTTGATCAAGAAGAATCTTTACGGAGTGTATCCGTTCTATTTGGCAGTTGAGAACGACTACAAAGCACATGGAGTTTTAATCGTCAACAGTAATCCACAGGTGTTTTATTGTAATTTGTTTGTTGTTGCGTTAAACGACGTTACTGTCTGAGAATTTCACTTCAAAACGTTGCGTTACCTGATTTATGCATTAATTCTGTAATATGACAAAAAGAAATGTGAGAATGTTGGTGAGAGGACGAGGGGTCTCTTGAGAAATAGCGGTTTGAAAAGGACAACAACCTCATTGAAAAAACGCCGAATATATTTGAAAATATTAACCGATACCAAAAGGCGCTCATAGTTTCTCGAACATGATCATTTACCTTAAAACGTTCGCCTGTTCTTATTTTTTACAACTTTCATGAACAGCATTTGAGTATTCGTCACACGACAGTCAGAATTCAGCTATCGTTTGCAGTGAACGGTGTCCAACGAATTCATTTGAGTTGCAGTATTATTTCTCAATGACAGCAATGAATGGTATTTCAATGATATGTTAAACGATAATTTGTTCACGAATCAATTTTGTAGGAGATAACATTAGGTCCCGCTCCGCATTTTGTATATCGAACGATTGGTGGCATGCTTGACATATACTTCTTCCCAGGTCCTTCTCCTCAAGACGTTATTCGTCAGTATCTCGCACTCGTTGGTCATCCAACTGTCCCAGCCTATTGGGCTCTTGGATTTCAGGTTCATCACTCCCGCATCACTTAAGATTCATTCACTCGCCTTCGTTAAAATCCCTCAGTTGTAGGTGGTAAAAATTTATGAAGGTATTGTTCCACTGAGAAATATTTCAGTCTCTAATAATTGCCAGCGAAAATCGTTTTACCATTCCATGGATTCTATGTATTGCGCTATGAAGGGACGCTAATTTGCAGTGTTTATGCGAGAAACAATTTAGATTAGTCGTTATGGCTACAAAAGCTTGTCCGAAGTGAAGGCTGTTGTCAACGATATGCGTAAAGCGGGTATTCCGCTTGATGTTGTCTACGCTGATATTGACTACATGGACAGATATCAGGATTTCACTATTGGCAAGGTGACGTTGTTAAAATTAGATGCGAAAAGTGTTAATTGAATTTGAAAACTGTTTTGATTCATTTCTTGGAGTGAACTGAAACAGTACCAAAATGGAATTTATATTTGCTGTTTTTGATTATGATTTTACGGGATATTTCACAACTAAATGCATCAGCGCTACTTCGAATTGCTATTGGCGATTCACATGTATTTTCCACCGGTTTATGT